ATTCTTTATATATAGTGATTTAGTTACATAGGCTGAAAAGAGACATGTGTCCAACAAGTTTATACCTTCAAATATAAGTAATTGCAATGCTGTACAGAGATGTTGACATTTCATTCCCCAATCAGGACTTTCCTCAGGATAGGTAAGTAACAGTTCTGTGTCAGAAAATAGTATATATACATATGTACACAAGCTAAAATATATATACTATAACTAAAGATATAGTAAGCACTCTAGTGTCTTTTTTAATATTATTATTTATAAAGCTCTAACAAGTTCCGTAGCGCTGTACAATGGGTGGACTAACAGACACAGTTGTAACCAGACAAGTTGGACACACAGGAACAGAGGGATTGAGAGCCCTGCTCAATGAGCTTACATGTTAGAGGGAGTGGGGTAATATCAAGGGAAGAGTAGGGTAGAATAGTAGGTTGCTAGGATAGTGTTCATTGAGGGCTTAGTGTTTTGTTTTGATGACAGTTGCAGGAGCGGAATCAGGGTGCGGTGAGGGAAAGCTGTTCACAGCTTAATTGATGTGCTTATTAATTAAAGTTTCACATTTCATTTTAAAACTCAACTGTTTGCCAACTCAACTGTATGCCAACTGCAGATTTAAGCACCAGACACATTGTAGGTCTGTTTGGACCAGTGGCGTCGCTAAGGGGGGCCAGAGGGGCCATGGCCCCCCTACATCATGCTGTGCCCCCTCTTGGGCCCCCCAAATGCCAGCAACTTGCTGGCCATGTGTTTAAATTATATTCCTTTGGACTGTAACAGTATGTTATAGCCCGATGGAATGCAGAACAGGGGGCTGGAACAGAGTACTGACAGGCTCCCCGGCATAGGCCCCGCCCCCAAAGTCCCGCCTCCCGCACATAACCACCGCCCCCACCATTAAGCAGAAGACCTTGCTGCTGCTGCTGGAAAGGATGGAAGATGGCTGTCTGACCCCCAGCAACAGCCTCAAGTGACAGGTAGGCTTGATATGCTTGTGTGTGTGTTTGTGTGTCTCTCTGCTAGTGAGAAAGCTTGTGTGTATGGACTCAGCAGTCTGTGTGTGTGTGTGTGTGTGTGTGTATGGACTCAGCAGTGTGTGTGTGTGTGTGTATGGACCCAGCAGTCTGTGTGTGTGTGTGTGTGTGTGTATGGACTCCAGCAGTCTGTGTGTGTGTGTGTGTGTATGGACTCAGCAGTCTGTCTGTGTGTGTGTATGGACTCAGCAGTCTGTGTGTGTGTGTGTGTGTGTGTGTGTTACGCTACTTGGGAGATTTGGATTGGAACTCAACTGCAGCTTGTAAAACTCCCTAATTACAATTGTGAAGAAAGGGGGAATCTTTTAAGTATTAATACTGTAGCTTTAAGAAAAGAGAGAATCACTGGTAACTTGATTCAACCTAAGTTTTAATAAGTGTTAAAATTGAATGAATTGCATTTAGGCAATAATCCAATAAGAAGAAGTGCAAGTAATCAACAACTCAAAGTTCATTATTAAGTATTTCCTCAGAGATGCATTAAGCAACATTCTTTAAGTTCATGAGAATAATCTTCAATAGAAACAATAAGCAAGTAGCTAAGAATATTTGCAGAGCAAGAACAGTTCATAGTGATAAACATGATGGGAGTTGTCCTCCATATAATTAGTAGCTTGAAGCAATGAATGTATTTGCAAAGCAAGAAACAGTTCATAGTGTATAAGCATGATGGGAGTTGTCCTCCATATAATTAGTAGTTTGTAGCTGTTACGGTAACCTCAGCATGAAATGTACAAACTGCCGTTTAGTAAATGCTCCCCTTTCGCAATAACATAGGCTGCATGCGTATCCAGTATAATCATGCGAACCGCAAGCAAGGGAACGCTGTAAACTCACGAACGGGATCCGAGCTCCAAACTCCCGAATCGCCAATATTAGCCGAACGCAGGTATCTCCCAAGCAGCTAATAATTCCATCCAGCAGTCTCTAGTCGTCGGTAATAAATCCCCCCAATAACGAGACCAAGCTCCGCATTGAGGGTAAAACAAGAACTGGCTTTACTGTGGGCTACCTGCCCGTATTTATGCAGGTCTCCCACTTGGTGGACACTCCCCTAGGGGACCAAATGGGAGACTGTAACAATAGACAGACATATGGCAGGTTAGGACCCACAGACACAGAATATTCCCAGCATGCATTAGTATTTCCTCCCCTCTGCCCTGGAGATGATTGAGAAGTAATTTAATTATCTCCAGGACAGAGGCAAATCGCCATTTTAAATTCAACACAGAAAAACACATAAAAATACATAACTTTACAATTGTGGAATGTTACCCATTCGTATCACATATCCCCAGATAGCCTGGATCTCAGTGCATATTATTGGCGAATAGCGCTCAGATCCCATACGCATAGTTCAATCATCATGGAGTCAAAGTCTATTACAGTCTTTGGGTATGCGAGTGACTCCATGGGAAGGCTATCTGGGGTAAGTCCATTCGTGCATTTAAACCTCCCGAACGGCCGGTGTTCGCACACTTCTGTCGATTGAGAAGGGAGGTTGGCAGCTTCAGCGGTATTCGGCTGAAAAAGTGTCAGTTTTCAGTTCCATGAAATCAATGCCGAACACCGCTGGTCTATCGCATGGTTTAAAATGGCCGCCGTCTCGTGGTCGACATACGAACGACGACCACCCTGTATTCGGTTTTAATTGAGAAGTGTCTGTGGTTAACCACAACGTTCTAATTGGGATCAAGAGGTTAACCAGCAGCACACTTCTCTTCTGGGTGGCTGTCCGTTCGGTAGTTTTGTTCGGCGGAAAAGTCAATTCACGTAACAGGGGCATACGAACGGGTAATTTCATGAAAAGGCAAAACAGACGAATCCAGCAATCTCATTCTATAAAGATGGATCTGTCACAGTAGAAATGAAGATTTGAGTAAGCAAGCATTAGTTCATTAATAAATGATAATGTAGACAAATAGCTGAAAGATATACTTAAGGTTAATCTGACTAGTCCTCCAATAGTTTAGGGCTATGGTCCACTTGTAAAGTAAGTGAGTTTCCGTTCTCCAGTAATCCTCTATGGCATGAAGTATACTTTTCTTAGCCCAGAAGGCTAGGACGACATCAGAGCTTGTAGAGCCGGCATGTCCCAGGAGCTGGCGTGCGTATTCGGAAGTAGGACCCACCTTGCCAGAGCCTGTGGAGAAGTAAGTCTGGCGGGAGTAGCTCCCAGTATCACCAAGCAACCTCTCTCTGGGGCTGTATCCCTAAATACCGTTAGAGCCGCGTCAGAGGGGGGCGGGGTCCGGCTCCGCACAGCGGAGTGCTGAACCCGGAAGTGTTACTGCATGACAGGACCCCCCACCTATTACCTCGGTTTTTGAGGGTATCTCCTGTGAAAGGCAGTAATCAATTTCTTTGCATGTATTTCAGAGGAATTATCCCATGTGTTATCTTCTTCTCCATAACCCTTCCATTTAATAAGGTATTGTAAGTTACCTCTATATAGTCTGGAGCCAAGAATTTTCTCTATTTCATATTCCAATTCTCCTTGTACTTCAATGGGGTCAGGCTTCCACAATTGTTCCCTATGGAAGGGATCTGGGAGAAAAGACTTTAGGAGTGAAACATGGAAAACAGGATGAAATTTAAGTGACGGAGCAAGTTTCAATTTTAAGTATTTTCATTAATAATGCATTCAATTTGAAAAGGTCCAAGAAAAAGAGGACTTAGTTTCCTAGAAAGTTGATTTTATATTTAGGAGGAGGTTTCCTTATAATATTATATTTCCTTTTATATAAGGACATAGAACTTGCAAGGTTTTTCTTTAATTGCTTGAACAATTAAGACATTACCATATTTTGAATAGAAACCATTGGATTCGAAGTTGTCTTGGGATCTTCAGGGAACAAGGAGGGATGGAATCCATAATTTGAAAAGAATGGAGTCATTTTTCTGCTTGAATGTATGGAATTATTATAGGCAAATTCAGCCATGGATAACCAATTACTCCAGTCATCCTGTAAATACGTACAGAAATAACGAAGGTATTGTTCCAGACATTGATTGACTCGTTCTGTTTGACCATTTGTTTGGGGATGGTACGCTGAAGGGAATTTACGTTGGATTTGAAGTGAAGAACACATTTCCTTCCAAAAATGTAAAGTAAATTGAGAACCTCTGTCTGAGATGATTTCTTCGGAAATCCATGTAATTTGATTATATTGTCAATGAAAACTTTGGAAAGTTCAGAGGATGAGGGTAACTTTTTCAAAGGAATGAAATGTGACATTTTTGTGAAACGGTCTATGACAACCAGGATGGTGGTGAATTTCTGAGAAGGAGGGAGTTCCACCATAAAGTCCATGAAAATAGACTGCCAAGGTCTTTCAGGTACTGGTAATCCAGTCAATCATCCATAAAGAAGGTGACATTACACTTTGAACCTTTGACAAACTGGACAAGACTTTACATAGGATTCAATGGTTTTGTCTTGACGAGGCCACCAATATTGTCTAGTAGAGAGGTCAAGTGTCTTTTTTATTCCGGGATGTCCAGCAAGGGGAGAATCATGAATTAATTTTAAGAGGTTGTTTTGGAGGAATATAAATTCTATTTTTAAAATAAAAGATTCCATCTTTTTTGAACAATTTAGGAGTAGAAGGTAGCTCAAGTTCCTTGTGAGATAATTGTTTCAGTTCATCCAATATAGTAGTTGTAAATCCAATAACTTTATTGTTTGACAATATTGAAAAGGTTTTCTCTTCTGAAGCAGGATTAACTGGAATTCTGGAAAGAGCATCAGCTTTCTTGTTACGAGATCCAGGTCTATAAACTATTTGAAAATTAAACCAATCAAAGAAAAGGTTCCATCTTATTTGTCTGGAAGACAAAGTTTTATTTGAATGGAGGTATTCTAGATTCCCGTGGTCAGTGTAAACAATGATAGGAATTTCATTTCCTTCTAGAAGGTGATGCCAATTCTCAAAAGCTACTTTTATGCCTAACAATTCTTTTTCTCCAATAGGATAGTTCTTTCCTGCCGAGGTTAAGGATCTTGAGAGAAAAGCGACAGGATGGAGAGAATCTTGAGGGGTCTTTTGCTGAGAAAGAACTGCTCCAATAGCATTTTCAGATGCATCTACTTCTAGGACATAAGGATATGAAGGATTTGGAAGTTGTAGAACAGGAGCAGTTGTGAATCTGTTTTTTAACTCATCGAAGGCATCTTGTGCATTGTTATTCCACCTAAAGGGATGTTTGTTTCCGGTAAGGGCATGGAGAGGATGGGCTACTTCAGAGAAATTCTTGATAAACTTCCTGTAAAAATTCGCAAAACCAAGAAATCTCTGGACATCTTTGATGGATGAAGGTGTAGGCCAGTCAAGAATGCATTTTATTTTCGAATCATCCATTCTTATTGAATGAGGCAAAATAATATAGCCAAGAAAATTGAGTTCTTTAACTTCAAATAAACATTTTTCTGGTTTGGCATATAGTTTGTGAATTCTTAATCGGGATAACACCGAGCGTACATGTGTCCTATGATCTTTAAGGTTATCAGAATAAATTAATATATCATCTAGATAGATAATGATACAAGTGTCCAAGAGTAGTGATGTCCCGAACGGTTCGCCAAACGGTTCGCCACGGACAGCGAACATATGTGCTGTTCGGTCCGCCCCCTATGTCATCATTGAGTAAACTTTGACCCTGTACCTCACAGTCAGCAGACACATTCCAGCCAATCAGCAGCAGACCCTCCCTCCCAGACCCTCCCACCTCCTGGACAGCATACATTTTACATTCATTGTAAAGCTGCATTCTTAGTTAGCTGTCCAGGAGGTGGGAAGGTCTGGGAGGGAGGGTCTGCTGCTGATTGGCTGGAATGTGTCTGATGACTGTGAGGAACAGGGTCAAAGTTTACTCAATGATGACGAATAGGAGGCGGACCGAACAGCGCATATGTTCGCCATCCGTGGCGAACCGTTCGGGACATCACTATCCAAGAGGTCTCTGAAAATATCATTAATAAAGAGTTGGAAAGTAGCCAGAGTCCAAATGGCAAAACCAAATATTCAAACAGGCCATATCTAGTACGGAAAGCCGTCTTCCATTCATCATCCTTTTTGATCCTAATTAGGTTATAAGCTCCTCGGAGATCAAGTTTAGTAAAAATAGTTGCAGTGCGTAATCTTTCAATTAGTTCAGAAATCAAAGGTAGAGGGTAGCGTTTTTTTTACTGTAATTTTATTTAAAGCACGGTAATCAATTATAGGACGTATAGTTTGATCTTTGTTTCTTACAAAAAAGATCCCTGAGGCAGCAGGAGATGTAGTAGGTCGCATGAATCCTTTACGGAAATTTTCATCAAGGTACTCTTTAAGAATTCCCAATTCTTTTTCAGAGAGTGGATAGATGTGACCATAGGGAATAGGAGCACCAGGAAAAAGATCAATAGGACAATCGTAAATTCTATGAGGAGGAAAAGTTACAGCTTCTTTTTATTTATAGTACAATCTGATGTTCCCAGCTGTTAAAGGGACAATAGTTTAGATTTATGCAGTCTCCTCCTTTGCCACACGGTCTTTCTTGAGTGGTCCCATGAAAGCCTTCTTTTCTTCGGGTGTCTGGAAGCGACCGTGCCCGAATTTTGAAGTCGTGTCAATGAATTTGAGGTCTATCCTCTCCAGTGCACGACGGCTTGTCTGGACGAGGCGAGACTTGCGAAGAGTGAGAACCCTCTTCTTGGTCCCAATGACACAACCTTTCAGCATGATAAAGTCATTCTTCACTTCTCCATAGTGGACAAATCCACCCAGAGGGTTGATGCTCTTGTCTGACAGATTATAATCAGTTGAAGCATTGCTCTTTACAAGCTTGCCATCCTTTTTGTGGTAGCCTTGACCAATTTTGTAAATCTTTTTGTTAATTTCTGTACGATGGTGGTAACCCTTCTAACCGGCACGGGCTACAGAGAATGCCACACGAGCAGGATGCCAAGCGCCAATACAAGCCACCTTGCGGAGACCTCTGTGAGTCTTACGGGGCAGTTTCTTTGTGTGCCAACGGCTAGTTACACCTTTGTATCCCTTTCCCTTGGTGACACCAATCACATCAATCATTTCGTCCTGGCCAAAGACACCAGAAATTGCCACCTGCTGCTCAAGCTTCTCCCGTGCCCAATCAACCTTTTCTGAAATTGTGCCTCCATTAACCTGGATTTCCATTAAGTGAGATTTCTTCTGGCGCAAGGGAAGCAGACGCATCTGTGTGTGAGCAATAACCCTGATGACCTGACAATATTTCTTCATGCTCAGGAAGTCTTTTTCCAGCTGCTTCTTGCCATCGTCATCCTGCCACTTTTTGTAGTACTTTGTGAAAGCCTTCTTCTTAGATTTGTACCAGTTCTTGTAGACTCGCCTCTTACATTCATCACTGATGTGCTCAGCAAAGATTGTTTTGAAACCCACGTGGGGTCTGAATATAACCCACAATGCCAACAAGGACCATAGGAGGAGTCTCCACAATTGTTACCGCTTCCACTACTTCCTTTTTATTCACCTTGGAGCCAGGTCTGTCAACTTCTCTGACAATGTGGGTCATGCCAGCCTTGTATCCCAAGAAGGCAGTCAGGTGAATTGGCTTGCTAGGGTCATCCTTGGGGAAGCTCTTCACCTTACCACGATGTCTCCTGCTGCGCTTGCAGGGCAAGAAGCCCAGGGATCCATGCCTGGGGGCTGAGAACTTTTGGTGAGACATCTCGTCTCCTCAGCTTCTGGAAGAGAGCTCAGCTTCTTTTTTACTAAACACATCAGAATAATCCGAATATTGTTCTGGTATTGAAGTTTCTTGACTTAATTAAAGTATAGAAATCTGTGGGAGACAATTATCCTTACAATATTCTGAGTCAAAGGTGAGAGAAAAGGGAGCCCAACGAATGAAAAGGTTATGAGTTTGTAACCAGTTGATTCCTAAGATGATTGGAAAAAGAGGGGATTTTATAATATCATAAACAAGAAATTCTGAATGGTTATTATTGACAATTGTCCTGATAGGAATAGTTTCATTTTTTATAGGACCAGATGGGATTAAAGATCCATCAATAACTCTGATGGAGATAAAAGATGCTTTTTTCACATAAGGTATTTTATTGGTTTCAACAAACGAAGAATCTATAAATATCCCTGTAGCTCCAGAATCAATAATAGCTTCAGTCTTGATTATTTCTTTGTCCCACTGTAATATTAAAGGTACTGCGAACTGATGAGAGCAGGAAGAGGGAAGTGTTTTCAGAACTGAGGTATTCATTTTAAGCTTTCCTCCCTTAGCGTGTTTTAGTTGAGGAGATTCTTGTAAAAGATGTTCCTTAGAAGCACAGTACATACAGAGATTTAAATTTCTTCTTCTTGTTTTTTCTTCTATAGACAAAGGTCCCCTAATAAACCCAACTTCAATAGCTTCACTTGGTTGCAAGGGTTTATTAGGCATGTGCAAAGGTGGCTTGGGTTTTTTCCAAAATGAATTAGAGAGAGCCTTTTCAGCTTTTCGTTCTCTGATTCTTCTATCTATACCAGGGGTTCTCAACGTTAGTCCTCAGGACCCCCTACCAGTCCAGGGTTTAGGGATTACCTGGGTGTGTCTAAGGTGTTTAGAAAAAGAAAAAAAAACACCTTAGAGTCTAAGGTGTTTTTTCCCCCTTTTTCTAAACACCTGAGACACACCCAGGTAATCCCCAAATCCTGGACTGGTAGGGGGTCCTGAGGACTGCGTTGAGAACCCCTTATCTATACTAATAGAGAGTTGAATTAATGTATCAAGCGTTGAAGGAAGAGTGGTTCTAGATAATTCATCTTTAACTGTTTCAGACAATCCTAAACGAAACTGATTACGTAGAGTCATATAATTCCATTGAGTTTCCGAAGCCCATCTTTTAAATTCAGCTATATAATCCTCCACAGGACGATTTCTTTGTTGTAATAATCTAATAGTAAGATCAGCTGTAGTTTGTTTATTAGGGTCCTCATAAAGTAGTGACATTGCTTCAATAAAATTATCCAAAGAATCCAAAATAGGATCTTCATTTTCCAGAAATGAATGTGCCCAGGGCATAGGTTCACCCCTTAAGTAGGAAATTATTGAACAGACTTTAATCCTGTCAGTGGGGTATGCCCTAGGTTTCAGAGTAAACAATAATTTGCATGAATGCAAAAATTCTCTATATTTGGAGCGATCTCCATATAATTTTTCAGGATTGCAGACAGCAGGGTCACTTGAAGAATGTGTAACTTTATTTTGCATTTCTCTAATGTAAGAAAGAAGTCTCTCATTAGCAATTTGCAAATCCTGCATGCCTTGTGTGAGTTTTTCAACCCTGTGGTTTAAAGAGGTAATTTGGGAATTCACTTCTGCTGGTTCCATTTTTAGGGCTTGGTGATTCTGTTACGCTACTTGGGAGATTTGGATTGGAACTCAACTGCAGCTTGTAAAACTCCCTAATTATAATAGTGAAGAAACGGAGAATCTTTAAAGTATCAATACTGTAGCTTTAAGAAAAGAGAGAATTGCTGGGAACTTGATTCAAATGAAGTTTTAATAAGTGTTAATTTAAATTAATTGCATTTAGGTAATAATCCAATAAGAAGAAGTGCAAGTAATCAACAACACAAAGTTCATTAATAAGTATTTCCTCAGAGATGCATTAAGTAACATTCTTTAGGTTAATGAGAATAATCTTCAATAGTAACATTAAGCAAGTAGCTGAGAATATTTGCAAAGCAGGAACAGTTCATAGTTAATAAGCATGATGGGAGTTGTCCTCCATACAATTAGTAGCTTGAAGCACTGAGTATATTTGCAAAGCAAGAAACAGTTCATAGTTAATAAGCATGATGGGAATTGTCCTCCATATAATTAGTAGCTTGAAGCACTGAGTATATTTGCAAAGCAAGAAACAGTTCATAGTTAATAAGCATGATGGGAGTTGTCCTCCATATAGTTAGTAGCTTAAAGCACTGAGTATATTTGCAAAGCAAGAAACAGTTCATAGTTAATAAGTATGATGGGAGTTGTCCTCCATATAATTAGTAGCTTGATGCAGTGAAGATTTAGTAAGCGAGCATTAGTTCATTATTAAATGATATTGTAGATAAATAGCTGAAAGATATACTTAAGGTTAATCTGAGTTGTCCTCCAATAGTTTAGGGCTATGGTCCACTTGTAAAGTAAGTGAGTTTCCGTTCTCCAGTAATCCTCTATGACATGAAGCATACTTGTCTTGGTCCAGAAGGCTAGGACGTCTTCAGAGTTTGTAGAGCCGGTGTGTCCCAGGAGCCGGCGTGCATATTCGGAAGTAGGACCCACAATGCCAGAGACTGTGGAGAGGTAAGTCTGTCGGAAGTAGCTCCCAGTATCACCAAGCACCCTCTCTCTGGCGCGGACTCCCTAATTACTGTTAGAGCCGCGGGGTCCGGCTCCGCATAGCGGAGTGCCGAACCCGGAAGTGTTACCGCATGACAATACCTGGGAAAGCCTCCGGGGAACTATTGCCAAGATAGTCCCCAAGAGGAATCTAGAGGCAATAGTTCCCCAGAGGCTGTCATGAGACATACTGCAATAATAGGTCTTTACTTGATCGGTTGCTATTTCATCTGACTTCAATGCACTTAGCAGCAACTTAACTGTTCTCTGGTAATTTACAGTGTATATCAGCCATTGCTAAAGGATTAAAGAAATGGTGCATGTTGGTTTTTCTGGCATATTAAACCTGCAATGTTCCCTTTCATTCTCCAGAATATCAGGGGATGTCTAGTCACCTGGCAGTGAGGAGAAACGATACCAAAATACTAAATCGCCAATAAACAGAGAAAAGTTTCAGATAAGACCAGTGACAAATGCATCCAAATTAACTTGTAATCCATCATCAGGAAAAAAATTTGACATGAATGTTTATTTTTTTCAACTGACAAACAGTTGGATAAAGTTAATGTTTATGTTTCAATATGTATGTAGTTAATGTATGGCAGTCTGAGAAGCATAGTAATACTGTTACTGCTTTATAAAACATATTTTCCTTGTGTGATCACTGAGCTTCTTGTTGCTTTAATGTCCACATTTGTCTCTGTTTAGTTTATTTGCTCAGTACAAACACAACCCATTGTATAAGTGCACTACACTTTTGAAGAATTATGAAAAATACTTCACGTGGAGACCAAATACTTTTTTGTTATTTAAACATTTAGTAAGATCATGATAACAGCAGTATAGGTATTACAAAACTAACAATCTAGTTTCAATACAATCAGCAACTTAGCAATAAATGTTAATGCCTCAATAGAAACAAATTAATTGCAAACAAGCATGGTCTAGGATTTGGGGGCCAACACAATCAGGGTGTAGTAATGTAACAGTTCTGAGAAGTAACTTTCTACTTGACAAATCTGGAAGTTCAATATCATACATAACTCTATCCAAGGTTTAAGCCCATATTCTACGTTCTAAGGGAATTGGCAAGGGCATTGTTATGGGAGGCTGACAGGAGGACTGAGATGGATCCTGAAAACCCAGGTCTAATTTTGGCACTATTCATTTTATCTTTAGACCCAGAATCCCCTGTTAAATTGAGAGAGAAGGAAAAAAAAATACCACCAATTATATAATGTAAGTGCAACACTGATGCACCATCTTTGGACTTAACTATACAGCACAATGTTGGGATATTGCTGTGGGTGGAGGGTTTTAATGTAGTGTAGTGAATAGTTAATACAGTATGGATTAAGGTTTATCAAAGTTTATAAAGATAGGATAAAATAATACTATGAATTCAATAATTGCAGGGTTATTCTGTAAAGAGAACATTGTCAGGAATACAGGGTAATTTCAAAGTAAAATTATAGTTTAAAAGGAACACTATGGTGTTAGGAAACGCTCTCCTAATGTTATGGTCTTCTACTCCCGATTTTAATTCATGGCGCCCATGTAAGTAATTTAAAAAATGGGGGGGGGAAAGGGTTTTACTCACCATTCTTTATGTGCTGGGACCCACTCCGTGCAGCCACCTGCTTCTCCAAAAGTGACATCAACCCTCATACAATTCAATCCAATTCATGTTAATTCATTTATAGAGAAATATAGGGGACAAGAAGTACTAATCAAGCTTAATGCTTCTCATTAGGAAGCATGGACTCCAATGCTTCCCTATGATCATTACTAGAGGATATTTGAGGTCCTCGTGCAATGCGTAAGAATGCTGAACATTGCATAACCGACTCTGACTACGTTATACCACACACTAGTGTCTGTCAGGAAGAGGTGTGTTTTAGCACTGCAATGCATCTATAATATGGCAATATTTTACATTCAAGCAAGAGGATCAGCGCTAATCAATAGAAAAAAGTTGCAGCAACCCAAATTAAGGAATTCCTCTCAAACCCTTAGTACACGGAGAAAGCAAAGAACACAGACATTAGGGCTGCGTCTACAGTGTGTAATAAATAATAATAAAAAGTCCAGATAAAAGAAGTCTTAAGTAAAAAATACCCTTTTGTATAATGGGAAATTCAAGTAGTCAGTGTCAAAGCAGAAAAATCTGATAGGATCGATGATAAGAATAATAAAAAAAAAATAATATATAAAATGAGTGAAAACACGTTTATGAATGTTATTACTCTGCTTTTATGTAATTAAATGATGTTTTTGCTAAAACTCTACTTTGTATTTTATAATAACTATCCTTTAAAGCTACCTGGCATTCTATATAATTTTTTAAAAATTTTCTTATCATTGCTCCTACCAACTCCAAAGAAATATTAGGTGGGGATCATTACCTTGTTGCCTCATTCATAGAGCAGTTGGTCAGCTCTACCTTTGTGAGTATATCTTGTTTTATGCTACTTTTAGAAGTTTTTATAACATACCATGATATCTGTTGCATTTTATCTTTACTTTTGGGTTTTCAGACTTTCCTTTTTTGAGGACACCCACACCATATCCTGTAAGTGGGGATTATACCACTGAACGCTATTTATACTTGAGCTGGCTATAGCTCCATCAAATGTGATTACCTCATCGCTATTTTGTTACTACCTCCACTCTGTACGTATTGACATATTGCACTATTGGTGTCTCTCCCGCTTTTGTCTTTTTATATTATATGTGGATTTCATCACAGAACGTTGAATACCTTCTAGACAAGACTTTTCTGCTTTGACCCTCTGACTACTTGACCATTATACAAGAGGGTATTCTTTACTTAAGACTTCTTTTATCTGGACTTTGTATTGTTGTTTGTTATACACTGTAGCAAAGCCCTTATTCCGGTGTTCTTTGATTTCTCAATATTTTACATTGCAGGACAAAAAAATGGCAGGGCACTGTACCCAGACCACTTCATCTCAATGAAGTAGTTTTGGAGCCTATAAAAGTCCTTTAACATCAAAGAAGCCAAACTGGAAGAATAGCTGAGGTGGATAATTTTTCTAGTTCAGATATGTTGGACTTAATCTATTTGCTTTTAATTTCTAACAATTCTCACTTTTGTGAATAACTCGGTTGATGTGATTTATAAAACAGATTATGATTTAACGGTTTACTTAGAGCATGGCTTACGGCTGGCATTAGCAGAATCTTAAGTAAATATATGTTAGAGGGAGCTTACAATTTACTCTTGGATTATATCCCCTGCTATTTTTGTCTCCTAGCAACACTCTTGGGAAAGGGCAATGAAACTGGTTCTACGATCCCTAAATAGAGGTTCTACAGCAATATCCTACCATTCATGATGATAATACAATTCAAGGTAACACATGTAAGAAGATGTAATCTGTTGTTCTACTGTGCATTGTGTAAATTCTGATTTAACTTGTTCTTTCTATAGTATATAGCAGAGGTAAGAAACAATTAGCATTCCAGATGTTGTGGACTACATCTCCCATAACCATAATGCTGGCAAAGGATCAGGGTACATATAGTCCACATCTGGAGTGCCGAAGGTAGCCTATACCTGGTATTTAGTATTAAGTATAAAATCATCAATGGTGGTGAAGTACTTTCACAGATGACATTCAGATTTTTTAGTAGAACTGATGGTGGTGTACCAGAAGGTCACAAAAATAATACCCAAAGTAGTACAGGTACTAGAGAAACTGTAGCCTGCACTGTAATATTCAAATAAATATTATCAAATAATAAATGTTAGCACCAAAATTAGCATTCAAAGTAATGGAGTATTGCAATTTGTGCATCTACATTACTGGACTAATATGACAACTCAAAAACAAAAACAAAAAAGGTGAAGCGCTACATACAGATGCAAGAGTTAGTTGAACCAGTCCAAGGAGTGCTTTTCCCAGTAATAACTGCAGGATGCATATATTTTATCTGGGGTATGCCTACAAAATGAATTACAAACTCCAATAGTGTGATACTGTAGTAAATTAAATATTATTATATTTGTTTTTGAAAATACACTCACATTCTCCTGAGCTATACGCCAAGCTCAGGGATAAACGCATGCAGGCCCGTAAAAGCGACCTGTGTGATAAATTCTAGGACTCAAACAGAAACAAATATATGGTGCAGTATATCCAATAACCAGTGATCCAATATAAAGTAGTAAACAATGTACTCACAAAGGTGGAGCCTCTATATCGGCTCTGTCACAGCACGTTGTGTAGTTGAGGACTACACTCCTGTATGCAGGAACCAACAGCCCAAATAGGTGAATGTAAAAAGCTGTATTAGGGATCTTACATTAAAATTCTAATGGCCAATTAGAAAATAAAATCAAAAAAGGACAATATCCCTTAAAGGGATTGAAAACACAAGTATAATATATCAAATATGGGCATGTAGGTAATCATAAAAAATTCCCAAATTCTGTCAACGTGCTGTGACATAGCCAATATAGAGGCTCCACCTTTGTAAGTACATTGTTTACTACTTTATATTGGATTACTGGTTATTGGATATACTGCACCATATATTCATTTATGTTTGAGTCCTAGAATTTATAACACAGGACCACCCAACCAGAAGAAGGGGAAGGTCGCCTTCACGGACCTGCATGTGCTTATCCCTGAGCTTAGTGTATAGCTCAGGAGAATGTGAGTGTATTTTCAAAAACAAATATAATAATATTTAATTTACTACAGTATCACACTATTGGAGTTTGTAATTCATTTTGTAGGCATACCCAGATAAAATATATCCATCCTGCAGTTATTACTGGGAAAAGCACTCCTTGGACTGGTTCAACTAACTCTCGCATCTGTATGTAGCGCTACACCTTTTTTGTTTTTGTGTTTTACATGAATTGGTGTAAAAAGAAAGATTACATCTTGGTGTTATAGCAGCTATTACTTTAAAATTGATATACATCTGTAATATTAACTTATAAAACCTATATAGATTTAGCGCCAGCATATATTCTTCATTTTCTAATATGACAACTCAACTATTATAATTCACTTAACACATTTAAGTTTAACACATTTAAGTTAAATCTGTGGACTGGAATTATGCACTGTTGTTGATTTGTTACGTAACACTTTCTTGAATCATAAACAAAATACTGGTTTCAATACAGAAGGTAAAAAATTTATGATTTTTCTGCAGATCATTTCAACCATTCTCACGGGGCCATTTGCTAATGTCCAACAGGATTATTCACTAAAGTGAAAATTCAGTGTGATTTAAAATTGAACTTCAAATTTTAGGCCGGAGTAGCTGCATTGATAGCAGAACTGAAGTAGAGAGTCTTTCCAGTTCATTTATTTTGACTTTTAAATTTGAAATTCACCTTGAATTCTCACTTTATTGAATAATGTAGCAAATGTTAAAAAATTCAATCCAAATAAAAAAAAAATGAGGCAAAAATAGCACAAGATTCTCAGTTATGCCTTTGGATATAAGTCAAGAAAATGTAGAGTTTATTGAATAATCCTCTCAGTCTTTGTTGACATCATACAGATTTAAAAAAATTGTTTCTCATTGGTAGCATTTTAAAAGCTTACATTCTTCATAGATGGTGATGGCTGTGGCCACCAACTGTGACAACAGGGCAGAGGACAACATCTCAAGGATCAAAGCTTAATACTGGAACAGAAGAAAAGTTATTCTATGAATCAAGTTCAGATAAAGATGCCTCTGTTGATTGATTCTTGGTAGAGAGATGGCTTCACAGCTGAACAGATTATTTTCCCCTTGTTATCTCCTTTTTTTTAACAAAGTTCTCTGTTTCAAACTTCTGTAGAAACAAACAAAAAACATACATTTGCTTGAATCATTCAAAAGGTCAAAATAGTCACATCACATGGATGTTTTAAGAAACACAATTTGTAATAGAGTTTAATAGAGTCTTATTTTTAGGGATTTATTGTGAAGTGCATTCTTTGTGAATAAGGAAGCATGCCTAGATTAATCTAGTTGCATTTGAAAAGCAGCCAATGTGGATAAAAATATCTGTTACCAGTTTGAAAAGTAAAAGTTTTCTGAGTTGATTCATATATACAAATTTTTTTTACATTTTTAACATGTACACCATAATGAAATGGGACGTGATGATGCTTAGATTGTTTTCTTTCTCCTGCTTCAGTGGAATGTATTAATAGACAAGCAGTAAAGACAAATAAAGGATCATCAACATCAGAGTAAAGCAGTGAGATTTTTTTATGTATAGGTATTTTAAACGTTTTTATAAAGGTGCATTCTATCAGTTTTTTTTCTAAAAGGGACACTGTAGCGGAGTAGTTGTATTATCCATGGTATCTCCGCTGGTAGTCAGGATAAAGCAGGTAAAATGTTGGTAAAATGCAGGTAGTGTAATCGCAATCCTTTTCTCCCAAGAACTAGACGACACGTAGCTTGGAGGTCAACTGAGCTTTTATTCACAGGTTACAGTATTTATGCTGGCGATATTTGTGTGTTGGAAACACACGAATGCTCTAGACATATACTGGCGATAGGTGAAACAGCCTGAACTTTTACATGCGGACATTTCTTAAGGGGCCAAGTCTGTTACAGATACAGTACAAGCGCTAGCCTTAGGTATATAAAGACAGGGTTAAAGTGGCTAGGTTTGCCACACATATGTAATACAAATACAGACATGGGCAGGCAATCTTAAAGGGATAGCACCATATACATAACATTGCAGTCTGGAGTGGCTAGATTTGCCACAGACACTATAGTCACCAGAACAACTATACCTTATTGAATTTGTTCTGGTGAGTAGGATCATTACCTTTAGGCTATTTGCTGTAAGCACTGTCTTTTCAGAGAAAATGCAGTGTTTACATTACAGCATAGGGATAACTTCACTGGCCACTCCTAAGATGTCTGTTAGAGATCCTTCCTGGGTCATTGCTGCCTAAAATGCATCAAAACATGCAGTGTCTCCTCCCTCTGCATGCAGACACTGAACTTCCCTCATAGAGATTCATTGATTCAATTAATCTCTATGAGGAGATGCTGGTTGGCCAGGTATTTGTTTGATTTGTGCTGGCTCTGCCCCTGAGCTGCCTCTTTGTCAGTCTCAGCCAATCCTATGGGGAAGTATTGTGATTGGATCAGGCTACCACTTCTGCAGATGTAGGCAGGCAGTGGACTGGTCTAAAGGAAACAGGGACAAAGTAAGCAGCTGCAGGCTTGAATACAAGTAAGATTTTACTTTATTTAGTGAGGCATGAGGGGACCAGGGTGGCTAGATGGTGGTTTTAACCCTATAGGGTCAGGAACACATTTGTGTTCCTGACCCTATAGTGCTCCTTTAATATATATCTTATGACTTACACATATCAAACTATTGTGTATATATATCTTTTAAAATTATTCCTATCACACTCGGTCCTCTCTAAATCTCAAAGAGCAAAAAATACCCATCTATTTCCACCATTAAAAACAAAATGATCTATAAGTGTGAGCAGGCCCATAAATAGTTTCAAATTTCTCACTGTACATCTGCAGACCCTTATCCCCCATTATCTTGGGAAAATTGAGATTGGAGTGGATTGTTTTCACCTGAAGAAAGAATAATATGTATTGATGCCTGAGAGGGCTCTATTTCGAATTTGGAATTGTAAGGCCGGTTGAATATGTATAATCATTAAGAATGGATTTTGGTGAACGTATAACAGTTTTACTATTTTCGACATGTAACGTTTTAGTTGCTGCATTTCTAGGCTAGTTTGTATTCAACTTTGGGATTTTCTTTTTTTATACTGTGTATTTTTTTTAAACAAATTTTCTGTATGCTTTTATCAACTCCTACTATAATGCATTTATTTGTAATCATAAAAGGTGGCATAACTGGTGGCTATTTAATCTCAACATTCCATCCAAGCCACTCCTTTCTAGCTATGGCACATGCCCTACCCACTGACCTAACTTCTAATACATTTAAAGCAAGAAAGTCCATATTCCATATAAGTCCATATATAAAGGATGAGAGGCTGGGAGCTAAACCTAATGAGAGAAGCTGAATTTCTATTTCCATTTCCATTGTCACTGTGTGACATATAGCAAAGCTACTGCATGACCTCTGTATTACACCTCCTGTGTGATTGCATTACCATATAGCTGGTTATGCATACAACATAAACCTCAGCTTCCATGCACATTATGGGGTGGGAGCAATTCATTTTAAAAAAAAGCACTTTTTCATGTATAATGAGCGTATTGTCCCAGTAGTGGCAGCAGACTGTCTTATAGTATATACATGGGGGAGAGGAGGGGATTTGCATTTATATTGAGGATGCTTTAGGCTTTTATTACAAATTTAGCCTATACGTATTGCTCCAAATTTCATTTTGTTAATTGGATATTTTACCCCAGTATATAATTTTGCAGTTTTTGCTGACATGAGTGGTGCATTGGAATTAAGTAAAAACACACTTTCAATCTCAGCACTTCCATGTTCAAGGTCGACAAGGTCATCAGCCCACAAAGCTTAACAGACTCATGCATTTTTGGGCAGATACATGTAATATGTGTTAGGTGGTTGTAGGAAGTGGAACCCAAAAGGTAGTTGATTATTGATGTAAAAGGGTTCAAAGCAAACAAATCCAAAGGGGTCAAAGCCAATGCCAAAAAAGCCAAGGGTTCAAATATCCAGGCAGTAAGGTTCAGGAGCATAGAATCAGGCCAAACGTCAGATACCAGGAGATCAGAAGCTAAGTGACCACAGCAGATAGCACAGATCAATTGAGCAATAAAAGCTCAGCTGACCTGGGCTTAAATAGGCCATCTTATGTAGGGACACCCCTTTTGTCAAGCTCACTTATCACCCTCTTTCCTTCCCTCTACATCAATGTGTTTGTTGTTGCCATGGGAATGTGTGGGTCAAACTTTCTGTGTAGCCACACTCTCAGGGAAGTCTTGCAGTTCCCCTGGGTGCGCACTTCTTCAGATGATTTTGGTTGCCCAGGTGCCATGACTCGGCTTACCATGGAAAGTCACGTAAAGACGCACAGATGCAATACTAACGCCATGAATGCATGGTCAGTTTCAGAGGGTGAGCTTTGAAGTTTGGGTTAGTCATGGCAATATGACTGAAAGCACACCAGCATTCTCTTGCACCATGGGAGTTAAATGAATTTACATTGAATCCTCTGGCTGTGCAGGATAGCCAGGCATACATTGTAAATAAAATAAAACAATTAAAAAGGGTCACATTAAGGATCTTCTGGTAAAACTATTTCAGAAGAGCATTATGTATATAAAATATAACATGTTCTTCAACATGTGTTTTTTTTTTTTTTTAAAAACAGGAAGAGCTTTAAGCATAAAAGTTTATTTTGTGTCATATTTTTTTTTTAATTAACTTCCTTGTATTTTATCTCATAGATAATCCTTTCTTTTTATTACACTAATAATACAAACCAACATTACAAAAGTTGCCAAGCACAGAGTGCAAACATACCTGTTTCTTCAGAAATCTCACCATCATGTGCCAGTACAAGCACTGAGCTGACAGGTCCTTCATCAAAACTATTTCCTTCCTCAATGCTTGCTTCAATCATTGCAAATATTTCTCTATAATTGATTTTGTTGGCACCAGCTTTGAAAAACAAACAAACAAACAAATAAATAAATAAATTAATATTTTTTTTGGTTTATTGGTCATGGATTGATGACAGATTTGGCTCCATAGATAGAAATACTACTTTGCAACCCATGGCATTAAACAGTATTGCACATACAATAAATGATTGTGGGAAATTAAATATCAGAATTCAATAATATTTAGGTTAGTCCAACTAGGAAGTTAAACTAAGCAGAATAGACAATGCATTCGTGATTGCACTAAGTTGTTAAAGGAACACTCCAAGCAAGACATCCACTATCGAGTTCTGTAGTGGTTGTGCTTCCAGGCCATTGGGGCCTACTTTATTTATTTATTTTTTTATTGCTTCCAACTACAGCTCCAGTTAGCTCTCCTGAATTTAGTTCTGCTGTACAGAGCTAGGTCATTGAATGAGAAACGCGTTGTAGTGTTTATGGTGCTTGAAGTTTTCCGTCAACCCCTTAGACACTGAGACAATAGTTTAAAATGTATTTTAATGGGGAAAGGGATAGGAACTAAGAATGTCAGAAAAGAAGAAATGGGATAACCCTAGGTAAAAAGTAATTACTAAATTCTAAGACCATCAATAGTATAGACCAAAAAACAAAAGTTTAAAGAAAATGAAAAAATATAATTATTAAAGGAAAACGACTAATATAGAATTAACTCACGGACCTCTACATACAATCATGAGAGACAACTGTCATATACTACCAAATAGATCTGCATTATTTCAATACAAAACTATGCTGCATGAATTCATTAATCCTATTTAAGATATGATAACAACAGAAAAATATACAGCCGTGCAATCATACATATATAAAAAGGAACACCTAAGAATAGATTTTGCACGAAGAGACGGGAGAACACTTATCTCCTATGTAACCATTCACAGTTTGACTTAACTCTTTACAAACTGTAAACAATTATTAATGTACAAATAAAAACTTGACCTTTCAAATTGTTTAATAATAACTTTGTACTAAACACAGTTTAATGATCTTTTTATATGATGCACTCCTATTGGAGGTTTATGCAGACTAAATATTTAAATCATCCTATCACGTTTTTCAGTTCCCATGGGTTCTCACATTGGACAAATTAACAGCCAATCAAATTCCACTCACCTCATTGGATCAAATGGACACATTTCAGTTAGAATTTGCCGATATATACCTAACCTGTCACAATGGTCTTATCCTGCTTAAAGAGGACACATTTCGGTTAGAATTTAATGCTATATACCTAACCTGTCACAATGGTCTTATCCCCCTTGAAGAACTGCCTTACCGGCGAAACATGCGTTGGGGCTCTGCTCTGCACCATCCTCAATAATTATTAATTGAAGATATATTTTTTTCGTTTGTTATTAGATCATAGACATTTTGTTCTTTTCAAGAGGTATAGGCAGGGTATATGTATGACTTTGTTCTTCCTAAATCAGTGCTCAACTTAGACTAGCAGATAGTTTCTTACACAGAACAGGTGCCCTCAAAGGAACAGCTTAGCAATTCATAGGACAATTGGTAAAAGCACTACTTGAGAAAATAGTCATGCATTGAATAATTTGATCTTTGTATCTGGCACTAGATATTTCCAGGCTGAGTTCCTTGTTTTATAGACTGAAAAGCGAAAGCAGTGTGTTAATAAGGCGCTTATCCTTTATAATGAAATAAATGGTTATAGCAGCTACCACTGTAAATAGGGACTCTCTACCCTATGCATACGTATAAAAATGAACCAAGTGAACACTCAGTGTAGGAAATTAAAAATAAAAACCACCACTGGTGTACATGTGGAGCGCACAGATTTTAACCAACTCACCCATATGAGTTTGCATCCAAATGTATAAATAAGATATCCTGAAACCGTGTATATATAACTGAACCTTACAGGATAGGCTCAGATCACAGCGGCATGTGTGTACTTAAGGGGACACAATACCCAATCAATCCTCTAATCATCTGCGGGTCCTGGTAGGGAGCCTTTATAACCGGCTCCTAGTATGTAGGTATCTGTGCCTTTAAGGAGGCTACCACCCTTCTTTTAGCAGCACAAATGGAAGATGGACTTCAATACAAAACAAAATGTATTCAATAAATAAAATGCAAACAAAAATAAGCTAAATGATATAAATATAAAGAAAATGAATGAAAAGTCCTATCTTACAGCCGAGACGCGTTTCGCTGTACTGTGACAGCTTTTTCAATCGGTGATGTGTTTGCTGCTTGTGGTGGTTCAAATACTGTGCCCTTCTTCTTGATTGGTGCTTCAATCATTTCATTATCCAATCACCAAACTGGCGTGCCTCTTTTTCAGTGCAATTTCTATTGGTTGCCGTCATACTTCCGGTTTCGGCACGTCCCATGTGACCCAGAACGTCACGTGCCGCATCATAAACCGGGGTGTGTAACTATAGCGTCCATTTTAGAATTGGGCAAATGCCCTCTTTATGCAGTAGTCCGGTATAAACAATGTCAATGCAAAAGTATTTAAAAAGAGGAAGAAAATAATATCATTACATATGTTAAATGATACAATATATGTAAAAAGCACATAATTACAATTTTAATATTGATCTTTTAAAGTGCCGATGCACACATTCACCAACAGGTGATAAGAAGGTGTTGAATACAAGAGATTAAAGAAAAACAATTTCCCAAAAGATAAAAAAATATATAAATGAAGTGTATATAAAAATATGTAAAAAAACAGCTGTCAGGTCCAGTGATGATTTCAATTAAACTTGCATAGAAAATAGCTAAAAAAGATGTAAAAATATTAAAAAATATATATAATAATATAAAAATCATATATATGAGAAATATATAGTCTATGTTAAAAAATGACAAAGCTCGAAATCATCATGTCTTTAAACATTAGTTTTTTTGTTTTTTTGGTCTATGCTATTGATAGTCTTAGAATTTTTTGGTTTATTTGTTGATTTTCAACAGCAAGATTAAAAAAATATATATATTAAATGTTATATTTTAAATACACTGACACCAGTAGGCAAGTACCTTTCTATTTAATTAATTGTTTAAAATGTTAACCACAATTTTACGCTGTATGTTTGTTCCACTGTCATTTAAGGGTTTCTCTTTCAGTGCACCAATGCATATTATATATTGGGGGAGGGGTTTAAGACAGAAAAGGCTATATTTTAGTATCCTATTTATATACCTAACACAACTTTATCTTGGAACAAAATGTTAAAAATAGAAAAAGAATGTTTTTTTTAAAAAAATCATGCAATCAACGAAAAATAACTCAAAATAGATTCACGTATCAGGAACTAAATTAAGTTTTGGTAGTTAACGCTAACCCTATACCAGTTCACCTTTATTCCAGCGACAGGTCAGTCTCCTCACTGTACATCTGGTCCTCCTTCTAAGGACTGATGATCTGTGTCCAATCACAAGCTTCTCATAGAGAAGCCCTTGAGACACATAGCACTTGCATAACAATAGCTGTAATTGAAATTAATGCTTCTCTCTGAGAAGCATTCACATCCACTTTACACTACAGTTTAAAACAATTACAGGTAACTCTTCTGACTGCCTTCTTTACAGCTCCGAGTAGTTACTAAGGTGATTCATAAAAGTGTTTTCATGAAATCAGTACTTTTAAAAAATAGGCCTGCAGGGATAAAGACATTACATCTAAAGCGTTTCAGCACACAAACACAGAGTGTCTTTAAGCAGCTAAAATGTAGGTTCTAGTAAATGTAAATCCTTTGTATTCTTCAGCAGGACTGATATTTTGTCTTTTTGTATCACAATGATCTAGCAATGATTATTTTAGAAAGGGCATTCCGATTAACTAAAGTTTAAAGAGAGACCTTATTGATCTTTACACATCATTCTGATTAGTATGAATCATAAAAAGGTATTCATTTAAAAAAAAAAATGAAAATCCCTCGGGCAGTTATAATCCTTTAGCATTCAACACCATTATACATAATACACAATACATTCATACGCACATACCTGTTTCTTCAAGTAGTTCCTTATTATGAGCTCGACACAGTGCTACGCTCTCATCATCCATATCATGTTTTTCTTCCTTAACGTTTGATTCAGCCACAATTAACGATTCTTCCTGTGCAACACGATTGTCCTCTGTAGTTTAAGGAAACAGAAAGGAAAAGCTTCACACATTGATACATATGTTTTTTTCAACCTTTAGCTTCAAATGCGATCATGTAGATGGGGTCTAATTATATGACTGTACTTTTAGTGAGGCAGAGTATATGAATAACTTTAGACCATTTATGTTAAAGTTTGTTAACTTTAGATTAAAAAGACTAGAGTTTGCACATATATAAATAATGTATTTAAAAGTGTTGTTACTTCAATAAATAGAGCAGAATAAAAAAAAAAGTCAATAGGTCTCCCCTTTAGATTAAAAGACCCCATTCACACGTCACAAGTGGGGGCTCGGGAGGGGGGCCCCGGTTTAAAAAATCATTTTTTAACAGTGAGCAGCCAGAGGCTGTTTAATAGACATGCTAGCTTATATAGAGGCTGGGTCACATTCTGCACTGGCCAATCACAGCCATGCCATTAGTAGGCATGGCTGTGATGGCTTCTAAGGGCACAGGAGTCAAACGCTTGTTGATTGGCTGCACTGCAGCTTTTCAAAACGTGCCAATAAATCGCTTAACACCGAACTCGAACCCGAACTGTTACTGAAATGTCTAGGCTCGGGTTCAGGGTCAAAAAATCGTAATGTTCGCTCAGCTCTATTCTTAATGAACCCTGAGATAATAGGCATATATTTACATTAAAAAAAATAAAAAACTATTATAAATTATATGTACGTCAACATAATCACCAAGCAGAAATATAACATTACTGAAGAGCTTTTACATAATAAGCACAAATCAAGGTACAAAAATTTAATAAAATTATATTATAAAAACTAAAATGTACATACAATTAATAGCTTGCACAATTAAAATAAATTGTCATTTTTTTTAAATTTATTTTTAAAATAAATATATTAGTCTGTGTATGTGTCTATGGTTGTTAGGGTGTGTGTAGCTGTCTGTGTAACAGTGTGTGTGTGGGTAGCAGCATGTATAGTATGCATATAGGAGTGTGGGTCCCTTCAAGGATTTACAGGAGGTGGCCATCCCTGCCCAGGCCTCTCCCTTCTCTCCTGGAGAATACTATGTTAAGCCAGAGGGAATGGGTACATGCAGAGACCAGACTCCTTAGACTTAAAGAAACACTATAGGGTCAGGAATACAAACGTGAAACACTAAATAGAGTGAAATGTTACCTTTATTCAAGCACTGCTCTGGTCTGCCAGCGCTGGCTCAGTCTCCTTGGCTGAGATCTTCAGAATTGACAATCTCAGCCAATCCAATGCTTTCCTGTAGGTTGTAGTTGTTCTGGTGACTACAGTGTCCCTTGAACTAAATGGTCACAGAGAGCTTAACTTCAAGTCCACAAAGGGTGGATGCTTTTAACAGGAATTATTAGGCACCTGCGGCACTCCATCAGGCCCTGTGTAATCAACCATCTAATAGCAGCACTTGATATTGTGACTATCACGGTACTTTAAGAATCTTCTTAAGAACAGTATTTTCCAAAACAGCAACTTAAGAACCCAGTTACCTGCTCTTTTTAACTCAAACCCCCAACACATAACTGTTTAAGAAATGGCTGATAAATGTTTTTCTTGCATGCATACATACCTGTTCTTCCACATAAGTCAATAATAGATTCCATAGGAAGTGCTGTTGTCTCATTTTCTTTCACACCGTTCTCTTCTTTTGCCGAGTTTGCCCCGTTCAATCTTGTTTCTTGTTTTCCTCTGTTACTGACTGCAGTGTAGGAAAACATAAAGGAAAGTACATAAAATAACATGAAGGGTGTCTCTTACAGTTACATTATAGACCAGTGGTTCCGATCCTCTGGATAGGGATACAAAACTAAGTTCCCATACTATTTCAGCAGTTCTCTAATGGTTGAAACAAGCCCATTAAGATATAACATTGGGAAGCAGTGGTGGCTGGTGAAGTTTTAACATGGTGGGGCACCAAACTCCTCCTCCAGAATTTTTCTCCTCTCTATACAATTCAGAGAGCTATACATAACACAGAGATGCTCATACAATAAAACAAGCTAGGAACAACATTAAGATATCTATAGAATACACAGAAATCAATACACAGATAACCATACCACAAATAGTAAAATATAAAAAAACAGAAGGTCAGCGCTAATTAACACAGGATTATTGGGTAGGCAGCGGCCCCAGCAAAGGGAATCCCTCAAAACCCTTTGGAGAGAACAACAAGAACAAAAGAAAAGGGAAGGGCTGTGCCACAGGTAGAAAACAGTACAACTTATTTGGCACAAAAGCAGAAATAGGTCTGGTGCAAAAGTCTCACAAATAAAGTTTTTATAATCCAAAAATAAAAAAGTCAGTGCTTGATAGGATGTAGTGTCCTCAATTCAACTTGACCATAGACAATATGGAAGACAAAAGACAGGGATACGTGATAGTGTAGCTTGTTGAGTACAGTCTTTCCTATAAGGAAAAGGTAATGATGGGACACTCACATTTGGAACATATATATATGTTTGTTGGTCTAGTGGTTCTTTGACTGCCTAGTAGATGACAGGCTCTGAGTTCAAATCCTGGATAAGGTCAATGTTACTTTACTTTAGAAATAGCAGTGCTGTGGTTTACTGCAAATTTATAGAGTAAATTGCAAGCAGCTGTCTCATAAGAGATTTGTAAGTTTGCTGAAATGAGTGTCAGGGTATTTATATCGGCAGACATTTTGTGCTACGATAGAAACTAAAAGTGTATATTCTGAGTCACTCTGAACAGACCAGACTCCATTTTGTTATTCCAAGTTAACAAAGACAAAGAGACACAGGATTTCTTTCTGTAAGACTGGCCTTTTTGCCAGAGCTAAGGAATGCATAGTATAAACAAGTGATAAGGAAGGGGGTTGGACAGACTGTCTAATGCTAATGGAATATAATCAAATCTAAACCCAGACAATTGTGACAGAGAAGATTAAATAATTTAATATTTAACTGTCTATATATATAAGGTACCATTGTATGGAAAAGGGTAAACTTAGTTCATGATCTGTCATATCAGAAATTATGGCAGGAATTGCAGACACATAGTCTGGACAAAATTTAAGAACCCCTTTGATCTTTGAAGGATACGTAAGTTATAGCCACTATCTAGATAGGCCAAAATGACGTCAAAATAGTCACCAGGAAAAGTTAACTCTTTCCTGGATAGGTATGTTTAGTGGGACAAGACTGCCCTCTACAGACCAAATAACTAATTTGCGATCTGGAAGATAACCACACCTCTAGTGCTTCTATTGGGTTATCAACTGATGACGTACAGAGAGTCTGGCCCTTTAAAAGTTAAGACAAAGTGAAGATAGAGATACGAGAAGAGGAGAGGAGGCAGATGCAAGAGATGCATAGGAGAGGAGAGAGGAATTGGAAGTTTGGGGACTCCAACCTCCATGCAGAGAGAGACATCCAAATAAGTTCCTGAGGCTACCAATCGGATGAAATATCTACTCAACTGGTAATTATACTGGTTTCATTTAATTAAATTAAATTAATTAAAATGTATTAATAGCATTATATATGACTGGATAAAGCACGGTCAGATTTCCATATTAAGAAATCTTAGTTAACTAAGAATATATAGTTATAAATATTCCATTCTGCAGGTGGAATTAAGAATAATTATATATTGATGTGATATTATCACGTGTTAGCATACAGCTGTTTTTATCCAGGTGTATTGATTTGCTCTAAATTAAGATAGATATCTTTTAGACAAATTAAAAATCTGCTTATATAATGTAGTAAATTCTCTTATTGGATGATCTAGTGAACTGGTTTAAATGTTATTTTATTTAAAAATTACATAAGAATAGATCTTAACTACCTAGGAGATCTAGCCAGCATTGAAAGGGTTATTCTAACTGTCTGCTAAACTTTACGACCTTACGCTGCACTCTGAGGAATTCTGTTCTTCTGTGAAAAGTTTCACTTTCAGCCTGTGTTAAAGATAGTCATAAATAATTCTTGACAGGAAATGCTATTTAGCCATTGAAACGTAATACCCATTCCTTTGTATTGCATACCAATTTATACTGAATATTCATTGATTATTGTCATGCATGTTACATAATATTATTTGTTAATTATTGGTTATCATAAATAAAATCTATTTTTATACATTGTGATATTATTATATGAAATACATTCCACTTAACACGATAAACGTTCTTTGGGATCTGAGAATTGAATTAGTGGGCAATTCTCACTGTTACTATTATTATCCCATAAATATCCCCACATATTGGAGGCACTGCTGAGATCGTTTAAGTTGAAATTGTATTAATAATATTGGTGTAATTCATGCAATTTAATCTTAATATAGAAAAGAGTTTTGTATTGAGATTAATCAATAAAATAAAAATAAAAATGGCCAGTGGCAGTGATAAATCTGTAACAGATAATACTGAAATAATTGAAGACCTAAGAAAACATGCTCTAGTTCATATTCATAAACATATGAAAAATGATGCAACCTATGAGGTTTGGTTGAAAAGCATAGAATGGGAAGCTAAACAAACCATTCTAACTGATGAACACATCATCATATATCTTAAAGAAATTGCTGAACAAAAGAACATAGAAAGGAAAATGGCGTACATAATACACTCTTGGCCTTTCTTTATGACAGCACTTCTTAAGGTGTGTGATGAAAACAAGTCATTGAATGCCAATTTGGACACGTACAGGGACGATTTGGGCATTCAAAATGGGAAATACCAAGATTTACTTGCTGAGCATAAAACTCGTCAGGCTGATCATGAAAAAGAAATGAAAGCTTTGATGGATAAATATGCACAGGAAATAAATCAGCTTAAAATGCAATTGGATGAGTATGAAAAGGAGAGTCAGAAATTAGACAGTGAGGTTGGTAGTCATCATTCTGTGCCAAAAAGTTGCACAAAAATGCAAGAAAAGACTATCTGTAAATCCCCTCCTTATTATGATTTTCCCACACCAAACCAGGTTTTCATAAAACAGTCTGTAAGTAAAGATGTGAGTAAT